TGGCAAAAAATCATTTAAGATGATTTAGACATGTACAAAAAAGACCGTAGGAGGCACCAGTGAAGAAAGTGGAATAGATCATTTTAAGCCTTGAAAGTTATTGATCAAAACCTCTTAGTTAACAACATTTCTAAAAGCTTGGTATGTGATATATCACAATGATGTTATGTAATTCATGTAGCTGATCGTACCTAATGAAATAAGGTTTATTGTTGTTGTTGTTGTTTATAGTATGATTAGAAGAAATCAATTTTGAATTAAACTCAAATTTGTAGAGGATTTAGTAATAATAGCCAAACATAGGTTGTAGTAACTAGAAATTATTGATTTTTTATATGTCATTTTAGACAATCAATGAAGGATTAAATATGTTATTCCACAATAGCCCTTCATATAATTAAGGTAGAGAGAATTAAAAGAGCTTTCAATTAGAGTTATATGTCTATTTAATCCCCCTTTTGTGTTGCCCACATATATATATATATATATATATCTATCTTCTTGTTAAAGGTAATCCTGAATTGAGGCACTATTAAGCACTGAATGCAAGCACCTCTCTCGATAGAATTTAAATCTTGGTTTGTTATGTTGTGAGAGATTAGTTTCTTTCACTAGACCCAACTCCTATTAGTGCTTGTTTGATCTCCTTTAATTAAGGATTGAGTTTAAAAATTATGGGGGAAATTTGATTAAAGGGCTAAATGGCTGGGCCTTCAATTAACCCAAGGTCGTTTTGAATTCTAATATTATTAATGACAACATTTGTTTGATCATGCCCATGTTATACCTTGTTTTTGTTTTATACCACATAGTGCTGAGGTTATTGTAGTTGTGTTATCTTTTTATTTGAATTATTGTTATCTTTTTATTTAATTTCAAGACTTCTAGAATTTTCTCCTCATTTATTTCTAGGATTAAGATTGAGGCTTATAAATGGTACTCTAATTTATTTGCTTTAAGATACACCTTTGATTGATCAAGAATTGCTATTACCTTTCCTCTCACCTAAATTTCTCTTTTATCTATATTCTCTCTACTCATTTTGTATCTCTTTCTCTACTCTTTTCTCTTATCTTCTCCCTTTTCCCTTCCCCATGCTGCATCAAGAAGCTATGGCTATTTAAACACAAAATTTCATATTTGAGTTTGTGTGAATGAAGAAAATGCATTTAGAAGAGCAATTCCCAATTAAGTCTATATTGCTCAAATATAAATTAATTAGAAATCTATACTAAAAAGAGGCTTTGTGGACCCTTCAAAAGACCAACATAATTAGGGCTAGAATGATACTAGTTGATACATCTTATCTTTTGTGAAGTATAATTTTGATTATTGTTTATTCTACACTAAAAGCTATGGAAAAACATTTAGGTGTCTTCATTCAGTTAGTCGCTGTTTTTATTTAAAATGTTCTTTTTTATGTTAGATTGATTATTGAGTAGACATTTTGTTGCCAAAACTATTTTTTTTTATTGTGCTTTTGCACATTATTGGTTGATAGGTACTCTCTTTGATCCTCAATATAACATGCTTCCAACTATTTTATCAGAATCAATGAGAAATAGTTAAACTATTAACTTTATTTATAAATAGATAAGCTTCTAATTTTACTCATATTTAAATGATTTTTTTTAAATTTACATTATATTCTCTCTTATAGCTAATAAGTTTAAATAAAGATAATATTAAAAAAACGTAGCTAATAACACATATTGAGCTTTATATAAAAGACAAAAAATGTTTTAATAAGGTGCCTTATAATAGAAATTGGAAGAAGAGTACATGTTTGGGCGATGGAGATGTATCATTGATTGTTATTGTTCATTATCATTATTATTTCCTTCAATTATTGGTTTTTTTTCATTTTTTTGAGTCATATATATGTATTTAGGTAGATACATTGGATAATTGATGGAATAACCAGTAATTTTTGGCCAAAAAGGGGGGGTCATTTTACCTTTCATCTACTCTTTGTGAAAAGATATATTCTAAATTTTTTGCTCATTTCTTCCTTAGAATGCAATTTCTCTCTGTCCCCTCCCTCTGTCTCAAATTTTAATTCTTTGTGGTAGTGTTATTAATGAATTTGAATTTAAATTTAAAATGTAAAATCTCACATTTAGAATTTATGTATTTAAAACTTTTTGTTTAGATAGTGTAAAAAAATTTAAAGATTAAAGGTATAGAAGTTGATATTCAAAACAAAAACAAAAGATTAAAAATGATGAGTTTTCCATTATTTTTCAATCTGCAAGAGACAAAAATAGGAAATGATAAAAGTGACAAGACTAATAGAAGGAAAAACATGAAGAAAAAAGAGAGTTTGAATATTTGCAAAATTTCAAATAATTAGGATATAAGGGGAATACAAAATTATAAATAAATTATAATTGTTAATTATACTTTTATTAAAAATATAATCATAAAAATATTAAAAAAATAATTTCAATTTAAAAAATATCCAAACTAGCATGCATATATAGTCATTTATAATAATACCAAGAAAAATATATTCATCAATTATATTTGTATTCCATCCCTACATAAATGTCTACTTATGGTTTATATGCCAAAAAATTATATTCTTACATTTTTATAATTAAAAAAATATAATTTTTATCTTTTTATTATATCTAAGACTTACTTTTTAAGGAAAATATAATATTTTACTTTAAAAGCAAATCACAAAAAAATATATATTTGGAAAAAAATTAATATAAAAATATTTAATAAAATTTAATTTCTTAAAAATAGAATCAAAATATCAATTTTAAAGTATCAACTCACAATTTAGAAAAATTGGATATGTATCAAAAATTAAAATTTTTTAAAATTTAAAAAATAATATTTTAATGCTTTACATATATGTATTAAAGAAGTATCGACGGATATGTGAAACAATTTGAAATATCAATACTTTATATTTTCCAAACTCCCCTCTAAATAATATAATTTTAACAAAATATTTTTGTCATGACAAATAACATAGAAATTATTTTCAATTAACCATAAAAATTATTTTAAATGCTGTCAAAAAATAGCATCAATAATATGTCTCCATGCATCGAACGGGGCACAATCTAGTTTGGAAATTAATGGATGGTAAGAAAGATAATGAATGTGGGTGAAATTCAAAACTATCAACCACTTTTTTAAAAGTTCCTAGCAAGTGGGTATGTGTTTGGTTTCATGCATGTTGAAAAAAATGAAAACATCAAAATCGCATTAGCGTCCCATCCAGAGGGATATAAATTAGAGGGTTTGTGTTATCCTAATCTCTTTGTAAACTTATTGATTGAATTTTGAGGACTTGATTAGAGTTTACGATTTCTTTTCAGTCGTTATAGATGTGATCAAAACCTTAGAGGCCACACTCGTGTTTAATTTTGTTTGGTTTAATTAGTCTTTAAAACAGACAAGTGGCGACTTCTATATGAACATACGCTTAATCATACTGTGATTGAGGCTTAAGTATGTTTTGACTTGTGATTATCCTCTAAATACGCAACCTCTAGAAGTGGATCTATGTATGATCAGATCAAATTTAGCAGAAGACATTAATGTCCTTGTTTGTTGTCTCCTTCATTATATTGTACAAAATTGGAAACAAAGCTACGTGGCTATGATGTCTTCGAAAAACACAGCCCCCTTACCAATTTATTTTATTTATGACTATGATTATTTCATCATGAGCATCCCAAATGTTTAATTGTTAAACATTAATTTATGTCAAAGCCAACAAAATAATCCATGTTACCCCAATAACTTAACGACATGTCCATTTATAAATATCAACTTTGCAAGTCAAAACAAACTCTTCAAGTGCTTCTCGTGAAATTAACCAACACTTGATTATCCATAAAACATGGGCATTTCATAGCCAAGTTGAGCTATATTGATATTTTGAGGATCTGAATTTATTTGAATTGATCATTAATCTCACTGTAATTAATTCACAATTTAAGGTGCGGAATAGTTTTGTCCAATGGAAACTATAGCTTGTTCAGTGTATAATAATTAATATAGTAAAATAATTCATATTGAACAATGATCATGAAGATATAATAGATATTATATATCACATATCAATTTTTGGGAAAATTGCAATCAGCACTCAAATTAGGAAAATAATTATTTTTCAATTTATTTATAAGTTAAACTTCTACATTTACAAGTGTTTGGGATCTACAAGTAATTTTTTTATATGAGACTTATAGATAATTTTCTTTTTATATAGCAAAATGAGAATCTTTTATTGTGAATGCTAAAATATCACCAACAGCACTATCAATTTCTTTTATTAACATATAAAGTAAAAAAAAAAAAAAAACACAGACGCACACACCATGTAAAAAATTTTATAACATAACATAGTTTTCCCCTCCGAATGCACCTTTGTCTTCTTGCAAAGCTAAAGGCAATTTTATATTTATGCAATTGATTGGGTCAACTCTAAACCTAAAGGCAATTTGAACATAGAGTGGAACACCAACAGTTAATACCCTTTAATTGACAGAAAAGCCACGGATTGAAGCGTACAATTTTATTTTTATTTTTCTTTTTCAATAATACTACAAATTCAACCTTTCATTTGCCATCCCCTGATCCCATCACACGTATAAATGAAAGGGACTAACTCAAGATTTAAAAGAGACCTGACTCCCATAATATAATAATATGCTGGCCTAAAAATAATTCTTATAGTATCAACAAAGTTTATATGGATTTAGCCTATATCAGAAGGTTATGTAATTAAATTCTACTATTTATGTAATCTCATTGGTCGAAATGAAAGTATTTTTGCGAATATTTTTTGAATCTGGTAACATGTTTTAGTTTGGTTAATCTTTAAGGTTCAACTTTTCTAAATTTTCTTATTATAAAAAAATAACTCTCATAGGATATTTTATTTGTCAGTTTCTTGGCCCCTGAAGCCACAGTGTCATTCTTTTTTGCCACATGGAATTGGAATGCTTCCTCTTTCTCTCTCATGACATTCTCAATAGCATATACGGAGGTGGCACTAAAAACCTAAATACACCAAAAACAAAATTATAAACTCTAATATTACTACAAAAGTATATTATAATGCACTCTAATGCCTTAACATTTGGTGCATCGTCTTCTCTCTCTCTTTTCATTTTTATTTTGAAAAAAAAAAAGGAGTAAAAATGCTTTCTTTAGCATTCCAAAACCCCAAAATTGGTCATCCATTAACATCGCGGCCTTGCGAACCAAGGTTTGCTTTGCAATCTCCAAATTTAAATTTTCTCTTTTTCGTTTTTTCCCTAAAAATTATCAGTTTTTTTTTTCCCACAAATTATAGAGAGACATAAAGAAATAGAAATTAAAAATTTGAAGTTGGAGAGTAGCTGGATTTGGCTGGAAGACCTACTCCCGCAAGAAGCTATTCACAATCTTCACGCTTGGCTCCTCTACTTCCCTCTCCCAAATATCCGACCACCTCTCGCCGCCGTATCCGCCGCCTCTCTTTCCCAACGCCGCCCTGAACGCCTCGGTCCCGTCCAGCCTCCGTAGGTCCCACCCCGCCTCTTTTAGCAGCAAGATTTTCCCCATCTGTTTCTTCACTAGCTCACACGTGTTCTCCTTTATCGCTCTCACCGCCTCTTCGTATGCACCCTTCCGTACTCGATCCTCTTCGCTTCTACACTCTGCTCTCAGCCCTCCCGGCGGCGGGTATCTCTTGAAATACCAGTCGAACTCCGGCACGCCGATGGCTTTTCTCAATCCAATCCGGTTCTCCGAGTCTTCCTCTAAATCGCCCGCGTCCGGGTCGAACGACTTGGCTAACTCTTCCACCATTCCCAAGTTGAGCATGTCGTCGACTCGCTTCCTTGCGTAATCCGACAAAACAGGAAATGATACATCCACCCACAAGAAGCAGCACTCGTACCTCAACTCCGACGAGATCAAACTCGACGACGATGACTCATCGAATACATTTACCTCGGGGTCAAATCGGTCGGCGAGCAGAGACTGAACGAACGAGTTAGACCCGCCAACAACGATGGGAAGCTTCCTCCTGGAAGTAATGTCGGAGATGACAGAGCCGGCGTGGAAGCGAAAATCCAAAGGCGTGAACTCCCCGATTTCCGGGTCCACTTCTCCTAGGAGATGGTGAGGGACGCCGTTTCGCTTGTCAATGGGGATCTTGTTGGTGGTGATGTCGAGGCCCCTGTAAACTTGCATTTTATCGGAGTTAATGATTTCCGAGAAGGGGAAACGGGTCGCGAGGTCAATGGAGAGTCGGGATTTCCCGGCACCGGTGGCGCCCATTATGACAATCACCTTCTCTTTCCGGCGGTTTCCGACTGGAGCAGCGTCCATGCTCGGACAGCGGTTTCTTCTGGTAGAGGAAGCAAGCAGGGTAAGAGATGAATGGTGAAATTGAACGGAGGAGCAATGGTGAGAACAGTGACTGGAGAAGAAAGGAAGTCTCATAGGAAGAAGAAGAATGGTTGGAGTGACGTGGGGAGAGAGAGATTGATTTGCGTGGTGGTTACAAATGATGGATGCAACACAGAGAGAGAGAGATGAAATTCAGAAATGGGAAGAAAGGTAGTGTTGGGGGCGGTGCGGTTGTACCAGAGAGAGAGAGAGAGAGTGGGAGTGTGGGAGTGGTGAGGTTGGGTTTTATGGCGTCGGAAGTGAGAGAAAGCTGTGCTCTGCTGGAAATGGTGTTGCGTCCCCCAAATTAATACCAAATTGCAGAAGCAGCGCTGAAAATGGGGGTCATTTTCTCTTGCTTTTGCCTCTTTCTCTGTTTCCAGGTCTCTTCTCTTCTCCTCTTCTGTGATGCTATTTTATTGCGTTGCTGGTCTTAGCTCGCGCTTGTTCTGTTTCTGTCTCTTATTTTACACTCTGCGAGAGCTCTGTTTTGTTCTTCTGCTTCTTCTTGCAGAGCAGATGAATTATACTGCGAATGCTGATAGACCACGATATATATATATATATATATATAGGATTTTATTTGAATCGAATTTTCGGTATTGTGCCAATATAAAATGTAAAGTGTATTTTCACGGCAGCTGATGGTCACGGGGATAAATGGAGGCGCCAAAAAAAATTAGATGTTAGTGCAGACGAAGAAGATAAATAAGGGGAAGAAAGACGGGGAAAATTAGGGGTAGCTTGCTTGATATTAAAAAAATAAGTAATTTTTTAATAGTTTTAACATTTTATTAAAAAATTATTTTATAGAAATTTTATAAAAATGAGATATTATTTTATGATTTGTAACGGTAGTAAAAATTTATTATTATTATTTTTAGATTGTATGATATCTTGTTGGTCTCTATTTAAAAATAATTTATTATTCAGTCATTTTAAAATTTTATAATATTTTTTTACATTTTTGCATTTTTAAGGTATTATTTTTAATATACTACATCAGACTATTTTTAAAAATTATTCAAAGTAGTTTATCAAAGTAATTAAAAATTTATTTTTTAGATTCTAATTATTTTGATAAAAATTTAAACAAACATTAAAATTTTTTTATAAAATTGGTTTTTTCTCAAGAAATAAGTGATTTTTTTCATTGAAAAAGCTAAATTTAATGGGAAGAGTTAATCTCTTATAACAATGATGAATTAAAATTTAAATTTTTAATAAAAAATATGCTTATATTTAATATTTAATTTTGTCTTGAATATGTCAATTTTTCTTAATAGAAGAAGACTTGTCCATGTCTGAAAAAAAAAGAGAAAAATTAATGGTGATGAGCACTTTTTCGGTTTCATGGTCTCATTTTAGGCCCTTCAATCACTGAAATTCCACACTTCACATTATTCATCCCTCCATTGAACTTCTTACCTAATTGTTAAGTTTGTTAATTTTGACCAAACTATCTTATTAACATTTAAATGAGGATTAAAATCACAGTTTATGACACAATTCATCTGTTTCCCAATACATTTCTTTTTTAAGCCAACCTTGTTTCCAATACTTTGAAGGACGCCATTATTCCCCATCCGTGATTAGTTTGATCATTTGACAAACTAATTTTATTTCAAAGACGTGTGAATTTGGCTACAAAATGATAGTTGTGTAATAGATCGTAAATACATGGTAAATAAATAGTAGTTAAGTAATTTTATTTTATATAGTACATTGATTGAAGTAAAGTGCAGTGCAGTTAGTATAAGCCTTGTGTTTATAATAGTCATTATCATTATTATAAATGATGAATTATTTATTTCATTTTATTTTAAATAAATATCTCAATTTTTAAAATTTCAAGATAAATGGAAATACCTCAATTGTTGGCCAAAAAAAAAAAAACCTCAATCAACTTTACTAGTTGGTCACATGCTCGAAATTATTGATAGAGTTCATTTGGATACTAATATTTCAAATAATTTATTAATTAACTTTATAATAAACTTGGAATACTTCTACACCGCGAATCGGACTAAAATTAAAAGAGTCAAACAAATTTAATACCAATATCTAATCCAGAATACCATTATTTTATATTTAGTCAGTTATATTGACTCTAGGGAAGCAATTTTAGCTTAAATTCTAAATATATGACAGATGAAAATCATGATAACTATTTTAAATATGAGTTTCATGTATGCACAAAATTTTAGAAAATATAATGTTTATGACTTCTGAATCGTTGACATGTTAAATTTTTAATATTACGCATAGATTTTTTATAGGAACAAAAAATGTTTTGATGATTGCTGAATAGGATCACGGACAGCAGAAAAACTGAAATGTAAAATACTTTTTTTAATTATTTTGTTGCAAAAGGAAAAAATGTTTATTCTTTAAAAATGGCTAAATGATTCTTTTTTGTTAAAAACTAGAATATTTTTTTAAGATCTAATGTTAAAAAATATAAGATGTTTTTAATTTTTTAATGTGTAATTAAAAGAAATTCTTAGATAGACTCATTGCACTATGTCATTCATGGTCTATTTAATAAGATTGCACCGATTTAATCAAATAAAACTTATTTATCATTATTTTTATAATACAATATCCATTTAATGTTTTTTATCTTTTCTCTCTCTATTTTTATTAATATCAAAATAAATTTATATTTAATATTATCTTAATATCATATTTTTATTGAATGAACCATGAATAACATGGGATACCAAATCTATCTCTGAATTTCTTGTGTGATTAATGAGTTTTTTTCTAAAATTAAAATACTTTTAATAAATAAATTAACCAATTATTCACTTTTTAGTGGGAAACGACATTAAATATTGATAAACATGAAATGATAGTACAAGATAATTTCATAAAATAACACTTCATCAACTCACGATGGAATATAACTTGCAGGAAATGGTGGAAATTGTGTATCACTTCCAAGTCTTACTGTAATATAATTTTTGTTATGTTTTACAATTTCTGAGGATTAGGTCAGAATTGGACCCAATCGGCCAGTTCTTGGTCCGGTCCAGTGAACCTCCATAACCGAACCAGTGAAAAATGATCCAGTTAAGAACTGGTAAAATCGGTGGAATAATGGTCAAAACTGGCCAAGAATCGGTTTTCATATTTTTTTTTCCAAAAAAAATCTCAATATAACCTAAAATTATGTTGTTTTGTATTTTTGTTTGTCTTGTAGTTGATCTTTCTTTAGTTTTATACATAGATTTGATTTGATTGGACAATTATTGTAGCATACTTAATGATTTTGATTGTTTATATTTGATAATAAATTGTTTTATTATAATATCATTTGTGCAATTGACTATAAATTTAATATTAATGATAAGAATATAATTAAATATTATTTACAATAAATTTCCTGTTATATATTTTTTTCCCTTGTACTTCATATGAGTTTTATATCAGGTCAAGTCTCTTCTCCATATCATCTTAAATGGCTCCAGGAGGACATCATATTTTTACTTTCTAAGTTTTCGTTTGTAAATATTATAATATTATTCGAATATATAAAGTTGATCTATTATCGAAAAAATATTGTCTACTTAAAATATTTTTATTCTTCATATATAATTTTTAAATTTTATTATTTCAATTGAGGTCGGTTAAACCATGACCCGACTACGATCCAATAAACCAGTGCTTGACCGATCCGGTTATGACAACATGACAACATTGATTGGGATAAGCTTGCAGCTCAAATAATAGTTATATATCTGCTTCCAAAAAAAAAAAAGTTATATATGGAGATACATGAACCAACTTTGATTACTGTACAGTTACGTGCACGATAAATCAAACCTAGTAGCATTCCTTTCAGGATAAATCAAACAACCTAAGCATGCATGTTTTTCACCAGTCTAATCGATAAAAGTCTCATTTGAATATTCCAATTCCTTCTTTGTTATAATTTTAGTTTCTTTTAAAAGCCACAGAGATTCTCATGTATGATTGAGAGCTTGTGAAATAAATTGTTAAACTGCTATTTATAAGAAATTTTTTATTTTATATTAATATATTGATAATTTGGAAAAAAAAATATTACTGTGTTGATATTGGTTTTGATATAAAAATTAAAATCACTCCTCATGACTACTTACCCTATATGTCGAATGCAATTATTCTCAGATACAGTATGTAATATATTAAAAATTAGATAAAAGGTTTCTCCAAATATTTTACATATATCATCCTTAAATTGAAGTTATCAATATTGTTTCGCAAGAAGATCGGTTAAATAAAGAAGATGAGGAATATCATCATGTAAGATTAGACTTTACCCTACATCATATTTTTAGGAAAACAAATCATGTGCAGATAGATTTTCTCACCAAGCATTTCATGATAATTTATAGAAAAAATTAATCATTTAATTCTTATAGTTTTAATTCAATTGTAACTCAGCTCTTCAACTTTGACTCGTTATAACTCAATCCTTTAAATTTTGACTCAATTGTAAATCAGTCCTTAAACTTTATATCTTACAATTTAGTCCCTAAAATTTTAACCTCTTTAATATTAGTCTCTATATTTTAAAAAATAAAAAAATATTTTAATATTTATAATATTTATAAAAATTAAAAGGGTTTAATAATTTAAAATATTAGTAATAAATTTTAAAAGATTTTAAATTTTTATAATTTTATTTTTTTAAAATATAAGGACTAATATTTAAAAGGTTGAAACTTTAGAGACTAAATTGCAAGAGGTAAAGTTCAGAAATTGATTTACAACCGAGTCAAAATTTCAGGTATTGAATTATAATAAGTTAAAGTTTAGGTATTGAGTTACAATTAAGTTAAAACTATAAGGATTAAATGATTAATTTTTTTTTATTTTCATGATAACTTTTTTAGTTCCTTTAGTGTGTAGAAATCTTCTTATGAACCTGACTAATTAGGTCATTTTTTACAGTATTGATTGTAGGGCTTTGTGTTTTCAAAACAACAAAACATGTAAAATTTCTTTTTCTTCTTATACGTGAGAGAGAGAGAGAGAGAGAGAGATTGGCTTCTCAAAAGTAAATGGTCAAATGTAACAAAGTTCAAAAAATGCAACCAAATCAACTCCATGAACGCCAATGAGATGCTTGTTACGTCCTCATCCAAACAAGCCTTTTTTATTTCTAAAAACAAAAAAAAAGTTCTCATATATATATATATATATATATATTTTCTTGAATTAATCATGATTATTATGGTCAATCTTGATTCCAACCTCACACAGCCTTCAACCGAAATATGGAAGAGCCATTGTCCTTTTTCGGCCAATGGGCCCTATTACTTTGGGCACATCAAGATGGATACCGGCCCATGTTTTAAATATTCTATTCATTTTACAAGGGCAATAAGGCAATATGATTGCAAAATTTAGTAATTTACATTATAAAACTTCAGAAAATGAAATTATTCCAAGGACATTCACTTTTTCATGAGTGGATGAAAAATATGGAAGACATTCTC